GGGGTTAAACCATGACAACAGGGTATAGAACAATTGCTTTGACTCTACAAAGAATAAGGAAAGCAGAAATCATGAGGTCTTGTTTTCCTAAAAAAGCAAAGCTAATAAGAAACCTTTATTAAATAGCTGCTCTGGCAGAGTAAGGATGCTACCGAGCTTGCAGTGATTCCACATGCTTCAAAGGTCCACAGCACATTTTCTACATGGAGGACATGCACAGCAACCCAGGCACTCAGAGGAAAGAATGACTACCAAAGGTTCTTTGAATGATGTGGCTATCTCTTTCATTTTAAAAACGTTTCCTCCTTATCACAAGCTGCATATGACCATACCATATGGAAAACCAATTTCCAATTAGCTGTGAAGATAATGACTTATGTCATAATGTCTTATGTTGAAGAATGTACTATGTAAATAATTCAGTGTTGCTGGTATCAATTATAAGATCTCCTACAAAGTAATCCAGAAGAAGAGATGTAAAATTGTAAAGCTTCTACAATAGTTTATATACAGTCAACTACACCTTTCCAAAGTCTGGACATAAAGGCCAAAGCGACAGGGTAACCCTATACTCCAGCAAACAAGAATTTAATACGGAAATACCAAAGTAGTTTAAATTAGATAGTTTGCAATTAAGCAGCAGTTTAGTTGGACATGCTACATACTAATTTACCCTGAATTTCAGCAAAATCCAAATAATACAGATACAAAGATGAACCTGACTAATGTGGGAAGAAAATTTCCAAGGACGCATCCATCTGTCAATACAATTCTATAGAAAGTAAGACAACATTTAGCACTTAATAGCCAAGATTAAAAATAATCTAAAAACCTGAGAACTATACTAGATTTATATATATGTGTATGTATGTTTATATATATAGCTATAAAATGTATCTATCTATCTGTAAAATGATATGCCTATTTTCACTGAAGATATTCCAGTTCTATGCAGCTGCACGATGCTGAATCTGAAAGCACTGGCGTTGCACAGCTGAATAAAATAAATTTCAAATTTTTTATGTTACTAGATCTTTCTCTTGCAAGTTTTCAGCAGTTTCATGCAGCTCAAACAAAAACATTGTATTTATATAAGCATGGGTCACTCTCCTCCTCAGCTAAGTGTTAACTACTGTTTGAATACTGCTATTTTTTTCTGTTTGCTTAAGGGGGAGAAAAAGTGATCAAATCCCATGTTTTTCTTAACACAGAACATGAACATCAATATGATAGCTGCTTCTGTAGCCTACAATAACATGGTACTTAACAGGAAATGACTGCAGCATAACACAGGTATTGCATACTTCATAGGGAAAATGACCTACGAGAAGATCAAAATGGGACATCCTAGCAGAGCTGTGGAATTGTTTTCACTTGGCCATTAGCATTAATAAACACTTCAAAGAACACTTAGGGAATTTATTTCAACTACCTCTTTTTGTTCCTGTTTGTAACTCTTCAATTTTGACATGAGTTTAGCTGGTAGCTGCTATAGGATTTAAGACTGTGAGTTATCAGGGCTTAAAAGTTAGACTATTTTCTTAGCTACTGGTTCAGATCCCAAAGTGAACTTAAATTTTGGACCTTTGTTTGTTTGTTTGTTATTGTTTTGGTTTGGGTTTTTTTTAGTAATAAAGAATTTTAAAAATGAGATTTTGTAACTCATAAAATTAAAAATGCAGCTATCAATGCACATCATATACATCGTGGAATATAATTTGATATTCTTTGTGAAAGAGTAAATAGTGGGGGAGGAGGCTTAATAAAGAAGTCAGGTAAAACTATTACTAAAAACAGTTTCTATTAAGTCAGAGAATAATTATTCTGTAATGCACTTAGTATAAAGATAAATCATACTAACAGCAAAAAAATCATCTTCTTTCCAGGGGAATGTTGGGAAATTCAAGAGAAATATACACGTAAAGCATTGAGCACATACTGCTGAATAATCACAGTTTATTGAGTCTTATATTTTACTAATCTAGTATGGGTTTATAACAATATAGAGATATTTTTCTTTTATATGCACAAACGGCTTAAATTCATACATCATTGATCATGGAGAGGATGCAGCCCATGGCTCTGAAACATATTCTTCTATTAACTGCAAAGTAATACAACATGCACATACTATTCTTTACTAATCAAAAAGTAAAAAAATGGTAGCAACAATGCCACGCATTCTGCATCAACATGCTCCAAAAAATAACTCTGACATTAGGCATTCTGAACTTCATGAAAACAGAAAGCTTCACCTATTTTAAAAAAGAAGTGCTTAAATTTAAGGCCTAAACTGTATATTTATTTGTGTGTTAGTGTCCAGCTTGAAAGGTGCATAGTGTTTAATAGCTTACATGAAAGTCAAAGCAATACCTGCCTGTGATGAGAAGAAAACTTTATAAAAGAAAGGACCTGACAGAAAGTAGTGGCTGACACAAAGCCTTTCCACCAACTTCAACAGGATTTGGAATTAGGCACCACCAGAACAAGTGACGAGCCAAGCAACTTCAGTTTTTCTTGACTTAAAAACAGATTACATAACTTACAAACTGATTGTTTACAGTGTGCTAATATTGGTAATGACTGCATTTTGGAGCCTGGAGCCCATGCATCAACGGGCTTTCCTTGGTTTTACCCTATACTTTATTATCCACCTATTTTCAGAGCAATGTATGTGCAAGTTAAAGACAGTTTACATCATCGTTCTACCCAAGGAAGGAAGGAAGGAAGGAAGGATGGATCGATCTTCCTTACAGGTAAAACAAATAAACAAACACCAACAAATAATTCTGTTTTCCTAACATTCACTCTCTGGCCTAGTCACAGACAGAAATTACACATATTTAAAGTTAAAACAAACATATACCAAAATAAAATCCCTACACAGACACTCTTCTTCAAGCAATGCTGCGTTGGATTTGGCTTATACATGTTTTAAATCAACTTAAGCTAACAATCAAGTAGGGTCTATCAAATTAAGTGTGTCCACAAAACTATGGGCTAACCTGATTTACTTACACTGCTTGTAAAATCACACATAAAAGTAATTGGTACAACTCTGTAGATCATGTCCTTTACCCACAGAGCTTAAGAAAGAATACATGCAATATAAAGACGTCCTATCCACAGATCTAAAAAGGACACTAAATTTAGTACTGACTTTCTTAAGAAAATGAGCTCAGATCTTGAAATGCTGACTTGCTTCAACTAATTAAAGACAGTCATTATTAGAGACAGACGTTGAAGGCAGATATAAAAGACACAGGAGTTATGTATTCATTCCTTCCTTACTTCAACTAACAATAAGCTACATTGCCCATAAGGAGTAAAAAGCACCTAAACCCACACAAGGAGTTCACCTTAATGATCACAATGGTGCTCTGGCTTCTTACTAAGTACTATACAGAATTTTAAGAACTCATTTTGACTTAAAAATTCCGTATTTCAAAGAGCTCAACTGCTTGCTTATGCCACTTCACCACAACCTAGTCAAGGCTACCTATCTGCAATGTACCAGGCATAAGAATGTTCCCCATAAACGTGACTGCACAGGAGCTCTAGAAAAACAGTCCAACTGTACCAACCTTCAGGGCATGCACAATACATAAGCAATCTCTCTTTCATGGCTTTGTATGAAAAGGAGAGGCTTATGTTATTGCTCCCGAGTTACTGTTGCCTGTGGTGCATGTGTTGATTAGTGATGGAAGGAGAATTACAACTGCAATTACATGTATGCTAAGAAAGTGCTCTTCCCTACATAAAAATCAAAATAAACAAAAGAAGTACATGTGATAATTTGTTGTGACAGTTTCAAAACAGCAAACAAAGATGTGACAATGAAGTGACAAGAACAGGCACACAGTTGTACTGGTGGATATAACAATACCCCATGTAACACAGCTACTGGCAATATTCTATATAATACTCTAAAGCAGCTTATGGGCAACACAAGGACTTACGTACTACAAAACAATTTGCTGCTGTTGAAATTCTGTGATAGCAGCCTTCATGGTATCTCCACAAAATCAGTTTACATTGGGACCCATTGGGAAAACACATTTTCTTTAATGCTGACAAAAACGAAGTCTGAATAAAAGTTTCTACGATGTCTTTATTCTTAAATAATTTTTTAAAAAAAAATTAACTTGACTTACAGAAAGTGTTAAATACCAGCAAAGGGCTAATTATACCATACTAACTTCCTTTTGTTCAGTATAAAAGGACATTTTCTTACTTTGCCTGGCTGAGTATAATAGCCTATGAATTATGAGATCAAAGCAGCAAACTGTATGTTTTCTAAAGTAAGAGTTTCCTTCACCAAGTTTTACACTTACTACAGCTAAAAGAGCTGTGTGAAGGGATCAGCACTAAACCCAAAGGACAGGCTGTGCACAGCAAGAAAGAGAGCAACTCCCTCGTGCTTTTTGCAGGTCACTACCAAGGACCATGTTAGCAGATCCACACCAGACCCTTAACAGGCAGCTCTGCTGCTACCAGTAATTAGCTTGGACAGCTCTGGCTCCAGGAGTAGCAGCAAGGCTACACCATAATGAGCTCAGCTGGGATTAGCAGGACAGGGCAGGGAACCAAGAGAGCTGAGGCATTCTGCATTGCGTATGTATCACAGAGATCAAACAAGGATGGCTGGCTAGGTTATCCCCTCACCACCTCATTCCAAAAATGAAGCACGGCAGTGTGTAAAATACAGGCTAATGAAGAGCGACACCTCCAACAGATGAGAGCCACATTAATTAACACAATCCCTAGATCATGGAATACAGTTTTTGTTAGTGCTAGCAAACTTGTAACTTGTCACTGATTTAAGAGGAAAAAAAGAGGGGGGGGGAAAGAGCTGATATTTTCCTTTTTTGCTTTTGGTAGAAGATGGTTTTATCTTGAATTTTGCAAGGAATTCCTCTTATGTGGCCTGAAAAGCACTACCTTCAGAAAAAACAGCAGAATGTTTCTTTATGTAAACACCATTTAAGAAATGAACTCACTTTTCAATCAACAGCTTTTTGTGTTCCCTTTTGAAAAAAGCCAGTTCATTCCACACAGCATCAGAATCCTCTTGACAAAGCTGACGGGGGTCTGCATGCTGGTATCTGGTTTTACTACTTTCAACCCTGTTTGAGTAAAAAGACGTTTGTTTTCAAATATCTACATGTTTTAGAACCACAAGAATAAAAGCACCCTTGCTTTCAGAAAATACAAATTTTAAACTGCAGCATCTACTGAATAAAAATCTTGTCTGATGTATACATTCTGTGAGGCATGAAACCTTAAATGTGGTATTATAGAAAAGTTCAGTTATGTAGTTTCAGACAGAAATAGTGCTAATATGGCACCATGGCTCTCAACTGACTCCTGGCAGGTCAGTGTCACCTGCATTCATTCTGTCAACTTTCCTTACAATACTGGTATGAGAAAGCAGAAGGTGAAACCATCACACTACCTCTTGCAAAAAAAGGAGAGCCACCAGCTCCTCTAATGCCCCTGCAAACCAACCTGGAAGTTGCACTAATGCCCACTCTAAATCAAACTGTTGATCTACTGTCTAATGAAAGAATAAGCTATCTATGGATAAGATGATGCATCAGGAAAAAGCATATTGAATTTAGACGCACAGAAAATGAAAATATTTCACAATTTTTCTGTCATTACAATTTTTTAATGTATTTTAATAATGCAAAAGATAAAAATTGTATTTAAAAAAATCCTTTATAAAATGAATTGAAAACTCTCTGCAATTTAAATTCCTACCGGGCATAGAAATAAAGTCTCAGAGAATGTGGTAACCTCATAAGGCCCCCATCATCTTTGCAGTCACGTATGTCAGTGGAAGTTGTATGTACACTGACAGGCGGATTAGGTCCCATCAGCTGCCATCTCGATAACAGATTCTAATCTATGAAGAATCAGAAAAGAATGGTGTCCTCCATCACTTACAGAGGATCAGAAGTGTCACATAAATACCTGATACTGAGTTCTTAATGCACAAATTACACCAGATATATAAAGCTTTTTGAGATACCAAAATAACCGTGTAAAGTATAACCATTTATGGACTGTTTTTATTTGTGTCTTGACTACTTTCCTTTGTTTAAGCATATTAAAAAGGAAAAACAAACTCTTTTTGGTATGATGGCTTAATACAGTTCTGTTCTGACGACAAAAATGATCAAAACCCTGCAATTTTCAGCTCATCTGAATTATAGATTAAAAAACTCAGATGAATGAATAAAGATTTAGTATTACGCTTTCCCCAATATCTACTTTTCCCAAATACATTCCTGTCAGGACACAAGCTGGTCTCATTTATTTTAAACAGAAACAGAAGTTGCTTTTGTCTTTCTTTCCCTTTTCTTTTCTTCTTCCTTTTTTTTGAAATATCAGAACCAGAACACCCAGTGCTTCACTGTAAATCAAGTTTGATTTTACTGTCTTTATCTAGGTCGAATTTTTGTACCTTTTCAGCCTTGGCCTCTCTGTGGACTGTGAATGCCTACTTAGCTTAGACACAGAATTAAATCATTTCATTGCATAAAGTAACTATCATTCAGTAGGTTTCAGTCGTTTCCAGCTTGCACTGAATTTAAAACAGTGAGCCAGAAGACAAAATCATCCCTCTTTTTCCTAAATAAACAAATCCTTTTCATTCCAATTTAAACAAATCTATTCATTATTTACGCTTTGATATTTCAAAAAATCTTCCTGTGCTACCAATGCATGTAGCAGATTTGTACCTTACCATTATTTAAATCCACACTTTTTTTTTTTCTTTTTAAAAGACAAACCATTCTTAAGGAAATGCCATAGTATTACAAAGCAATGTAAATCTACTCAGATAGGCCAAAGCATTATTTATATATGAGGGACAGTTTATCATTCACAGCAGGACCCTTTCTGTCACCCTGGACTCTCTGAATGGCTACCAGTTTTGCAGCAATTTCTGTGACACACTTCAGTTAGAGAGAGTTACAAAGTTTGTGTCAAGATTAGTCAGTATTGCTCTAACTACAAAAAGAATTATTTTTAGTAAAACACATATGTGTGTACTAAACTGTAGGTGCACACTGAAGTCCTACTAAAGCCACCAGGATGTAATGACCTGCTCAAATTACTTTCTTGAAAAAAAACAGGGCTGGAAAAACTGTACCTCAGCAGTGTCTGATAACTGAAGTGATAAGAAATGTCTTCATACCTCCAAATGTGTCTGTTTACCAAAAATTCTAACTCTCTGCTAAGGGCTTCAAAAAAAGGAACTTCTGCATGAATTTTTCACTGTTTTGTATAGAATTTAAGGGAGAATTATATGTAGAATATTTGCTATTTAAATTTTGATGTGGTAGTCTTTCTTCTTTCCATTAATAAAGATATATTACTGCAATATTTTTGTAGAATGATCAGAAATAATTGATTTTATAATCAATTAACAGATGAAACCACCCTGCTTTTCATGCACATACTCTTTTTTCCCTATTAAGAAGGGGATTTTACAATCAGCTTCAGTTAATGTTTGAATCACTAAATTTAAATTTTGATGTGGTAGTCTTTCTTCTTTCCATTAATAAAGATATATTACTGCAATATTTTTGTAGAATGATCAGAAATAATTGATTTTATAATCAATTAACAGATGAAACCACCCTGCTTTTCATGCACATACTCTTTTTTCCCTATTAAGAAGGGGATTTTACAATCAGCTTCAGTTAATGTTTGAATCACTAAATGTTAGAGAGTCTGTTATTTCTATATTGTTTAATGAATAAAATTATTTTTAAAAACTATTTGGAGCATACATAAGGAGCAATTGTTCTATTATAGAAAATTAAAAACATACACAGTCAACAAATTAATCGACTGGGGAATTAGACAAGCATAAATCAGCAGCCCTAGCAGACCTTTGCCCAGTACTCAGGCTCAAAATGAGATCCTAAATAAAATAAGTCAAGGTGTCAGCTCAATACATTTTAGTCTTGGTTTCAACTGTAATTTTGCTCATATAGGGGTATGCCATGTATTCTGCTTTAACAAAGGATAAAGTCTTGATCACCACATGGTAGCTTCTTCCTTCAAATCAAATTCTCTTTTGAATACCTGTATAATACTTCTGTTCAGATTTCTTGTGTAAGGGAAATGTTTTTAATGAGCTGTGTAACTTACCTGCTATCGCCCTCTTCCCACTGCTTTAATTGCTCTTTTAGTGCTCTGTAGTTGGTCTGTAACATCTGCAGCCTCTCTTTGCATTTTTCATGGGCTGCTCTTAGCTCATCAGTTTCTTGAGTCTGTATAGAACCAGAAAAACAAAATTAGAGTTGGGCAAAATGTAAGAGACTTTCACACAGATCTCTTGTGTAACTTACCTGCTATCGCCCTCTTCCCACTGCTTTAATTGCTCTTTTAGTGCTCTGTAGTTGGTCTGTAACATCTGCAGCCTCTCTTTGCATTTTTCATGGGCTGCTCTTAGCTCATCAGTTTCTTGAGTCTGTATAGAACCAGAAAAACAAAATTAGAGTTGGGCAAAATGTAAGAGACTTTCACACAGATCACATGAAACAAAAGTTCTGTTTAAGTAAATATTAAGAGCCTCAGAAATCTAAATAGAAAGATCGGGAGTCACAATCCCTGAGGTTAAATTTTTCTTATTGCTACTTTGGCAAATTTTGCTAATTTGGCAAAATTTACTTAAATATTTTTTTCATGCTGCTGAGAAGTTTTAAAAAAATTTACTACCAAAATGTCAGTTTTCATCTCATGAATGCATTGGCCTAATACACCTAAAAATACATAGACTGAAAAAGGACTGTTGGCACTGTCTTTTCTTTCAAACTACTATTTTCTTTTTTTTTCCCCCCATGGAAAATTAATCTACGTATTTTTGAGGGAAACACTGGCCACACTGAGGTCCACATCATAAAAGCTCAATTTAAATGGCTTCAGGATTTCCTCTTATATTAATTTATTTCTGTAAATATATATAAACATGCAACACTCAAACTTTGTCCTCTAGTTATGTAACAAACAAGAAATAAAAACAAACTTTGCAATAGCTTTTATATAATCAAAACCATATGAAAAAATGTACTGTCTTTTTACAGAATGAAAAGTAAGATATACCTTGATTTATATTATAGGATAATGTCATACAAGTTTAAAAAGAGATTTTCTGAAGTGAAAATACTGTGCTCTGAAAAAAATGAACATTAAGAAGAGGACATTCCACAGTATAAAGCAAGTCAAATTCTGGCATACAGCTGTAAAGAATTCACTAGACATTGTCCTGTAGTAAAATTTGCCCTCAGTGCTTCATTTCCAGTTCAATGGGAGCTCTGCTTGTAGAGCAACTACAGAACATGTTCCTTAATCTCTAAGTAAATAACAATACTTCATTTGCATGCATTTACTGCTTATATGCAAGGAGAGCTTTTCAGCATTAGTCAATAAATAAGATACACCAATAGTCAGAGCTGTAAGCAATAAAAATGAAATCCCACTATAAAAACATGGCAAGGATGTCTACAGTAGTGCTAACTACAAAGTAACTAGACTAAGCTTGGCTTCTAAGATGTAGCCCAGCTTTCACGATGCATAAGCAAAGCTGAAAGATACGAGCTAAAATTTCAGATGCTACTATATATAAAATTCCAGAAGTTTTCTGGAAGTGACTCAGGCAACACACAAAGCAGATTTAGAAATACAAGCAGATACCAAAGTGACCTTACCATTAAACACTTTTCCAAAGTGGTGGGGTTTTTTTCTGAAACAACCTCTAAACCAGATACATTTATAAATTTAGAATTGCTTAAAAAGTACTTTTGACTGGTTTTAAGTAGCTCATCTAAACACTACAATTATATTAAAAACAATCACACAAATAGCAAGATGAATTTATGACAAAGGACATAGAGACTATTACCAAGCTTTGCTTGACACTACAACAGGAAATTTTTATAAGAATCCAATTATAGATGCTATGTTTTCAAAAGAAGTTCATGAGATCATTATTCTGTGATTGTTTGATACTGCTAGAGAAAACTGATCAAGTCTGGCAAGGTACTGGAAAATGATGTCTTCAGCATAAATCCTCAGAAGTTTATTAGTGTCAATGCCCTTTCAGAGATGCAACCAAGTGCAGAATTTGGCCTTTCCTATTTATGAATCTACATTTTTCATTATTGCTTACCTGTTCAATTATCCATACTGTTAGTTATTCCCTTCCCTTAGCAGTTGCTCTGCTCTCACAGAAATAGAAATTAGACAATTAACTGTCCAGAATCACTCTCTTTTATTGAATTATTAAGCATTTCAGAACTTGAAATTTACACTGTAATTTCCATAATCTCAGTTAGTTCCATCTCTCTCTGATTGAATTACATTATATTTTTTAATAATTAAACTGTCTTGTATACAGTTTTCTATATATTGACAGAAATGGAACAGAACAACCATCTCTAGCAGGGCCAGATCTCCAGGTTATTCTTCACCTCTCTACTGTCATTTTATAGTACTTCCCATGACATAATTAAAGACAAAAAGGCAAAGTCCAATCTGCAGGAGGAAGAACCCAACTGCCTGTGAAAAAAATGTCATTTTGCTATTTGCAGGCAGCCCAGACAAGCCAAAAGATTCTAATCACTACTTCAAAATTTTGTTGAAATTGACCTGTAACAATTTCTGTTACAGTAAAAATAGAACTAAAATGGAATTTAAAAAATATACTGATTCAATTCTTTGACTACTCTTCTTAGGCTGACAGGAAGTGAGGAACCTGACCATTACAAAAATAGTTTTTTCCACAAGTAGTTATGTGAAAAAGCCACAATATTAATGTATTTTCGGCATCTGAACACCATACATAGAAAAGGACTATATATGAAAGCTAAACTAAATATGTGTGCCCTCCCTCACATGAACAAGTATTAAGGTGGCTCTAAAGACTAATCTACATATTCTAGTTCTAATTCTCTCCAAAATTTTAGAACTTTAAACAAAAAGGATGAGAAAACTCAAAGCGAAGATCTCCTACTGCTTTTGAAAACTTTCCAATTAAAGCCAGGAAGATCTCCTCTAGGCTACACCAGGGATGACAGTTCTAGAAACATAATATGGGAGAAGAGAACATATTCTTAGTTCGTATCAAATATCTAACTCTCGGCAACCAAACTCCTATCTACTTCTTAAAGACCAACAGTAGATTGATGTACTTATGCTTTGGACCATTCGAAGTACCAGCTTGATAATTTGTTATTCAAAATCCATGAAATACTCTTTATTTATTTTGACATTCTCTTCCCTACACAAGGGTGCAATCAGGCATGCTCTGTTACTTTTTAGTATGTCCTGGAGTGCAGAAATTAAGCAGACTCTGTACCAAAACTATGGACTCTGTAAATTTACATGATTACCCTAGTTATATTAACAATAAAAACAGTAAGAGCCAACTTTCCTTGGCCAGAAATGAGTCAGCTGAGGAGAACTGGAAAATCCTGTGAATGAGACCTTACCCTATTCTGTTCCTTTGTAATACCAACTATTCCTGTTCCTGAAACCCCCCCAAATAAAGCTGTTCATCTTTTTTTTAATAGTTACCAACTTTGCAGAAGGACTGATGGATAAAGTCACAATTTCGTCTTCAGGATATGCATCATCAGTATGTTTACTGATAGAGAAAGCATTTGAGCAAGTATATTTCAAGTAATCATATAGTCAACACTTTGCTTCAGGAGGCAATAATGCAAGTGCCATTTTCAAAAATGTTGATCACATGCATTATTCTTTATTGGCAGCAATGCCTGAGAGGAGGCTAATATCAAGAAATCATACAATACCAATAGAATTATTCTGATATTAATGTTATGACAGCTGAGTTCACTGTTATGCTGGCAATAGCCTCATTGAATTCTGAATGTAGTACCACAACAGTGTTTAATATGTTGACCTGGGCCTCTACAGCTTCTTTTCAATCAGTTAAAGCATTCTGCAAAAGAAGCCAAGTAGGTTTCGTAGAGAAAGTGCAAGGAGTTCATATATTCAGTTTCAAGGGGAGTTATAAGACTTAGCCCTTAAAGACCTCATGGATTAACAGCTGTGATGAATAGAGATCCCGCACCTGCAACATAATAAAGCTGCACAGATTCCTAAATTATGCTTTTAAGATGAAATGGAAGAAATGACAAAGGCAGTATGGCGAAAGGTAAAAACTATGTTATGAGGTCATGCAGAGAGAATAACAATCCTTTCTCTTCTGTATCTGCTTAGAAAAATCAGAGTGCTTCTCTTCACTCCTCTTTCCAGAAGAAAACACAAAGAAATGTGGAACTTTCTATCATTTAAGACAACAACCATACACACTGATGTGTGAGCTTTGCTGCCAAGGGCAGAGCAGCTGTAGTCCACAGTGCCAGGATAATCTGTAGCATCAGTCTGGCAGGCCAACTAAGAGTAACAAACAGGAGGCCTGCCAAGGCCAGTTGTCAGGTAGAGCTGGTAGGACATGCCTTAGATTTCTCAACAGAGAGAAAAAACAGAACAAAATTAATCTTCTGACTCCCAGGAACAAGGAGCAAGATGGCCTGGAAGACTGAATTTGAAGTCTAAATCATCCTTCCTGTTCATATACTCTACGTGTGTTAAGACACTACATTAAACTCTCTCAAGTATACAAGGTGATGAACTTTTGCATTTGTGCTAAAATAATTCCCACTCACATTTTTTCTAAAGTTGACTTATCACATAAGAGTATCTTTTTGCATGAGGCAGAAGCTCAGGACTATGGTTTGTAGGGCTCCCCAAATTTTTTCACTTACCTGACATTTATCACAGCATGTTCAATATAACCAGGTCTGTCTTAGGCTACATATATGGAAAATACCCTTCAAATTCCATAACTCTGAACAAACATAAGCAACAAAAAAAAAAGGAGAAAAAAGGGAGGGGAAAAGGAGGAAGGGGAAAAGGAGGAAGGGGAAAAGGAGGAAGGGGAAAAGGAGGAAGGGGAAAAGGAGGAAGGGGAAAAGGAGGAAGGGGAAAAGGAGGAAGGGGAAAAGGAGGAAGGGGAAAAGGAGGAAGGGGAAAAGGAGGAAGGGGAAAAGGAGGAAGGGGAAAAGGAGGAGAGTACGAATTGTAAATGTTTAAGAAAATATGAGTCAGGTTTTGGGTTTTGCATTCTGAGGTGCAATTTGAAACCAATAGGTCATTCAAAAGATACTATTTTTGAAGTAAAAAACCAAACCAACAAAAATCTATAAAATGGGGACAAAATGGAAAATTGTAATACATGCTCAATTAAGCTTTTCTACCAAGGGTTGGGAGCAGGTGGGGAGGGGGTGTTTGTTGGGGATTTTTTACAGCATTTGTTAGAACAAGTTCTGAGTCATGACTTCTAAGAGTACAAGGGGTAAATCTGTTTCAAGTAATTGCTTCAGCGTTTTAAAACACTGGCTACACTGTACAAAAAAAAAACCCAACCAACTTTGTACTTTCTGCTTTGTTTTATTTCTATATGAGTACATGAATTTCTCAGACTATATATTCTCAGACGCAGATTTTGAAAATGTATTTAACAAGCACGTATTATTGATGACAGCTCAAATTAGGCTTCCATAGGACTGCAGGAGTACCAACACAAGATTCCTAGGAGTAAAGAAAAAAGGCAAACTAATGGAGAGTGCTCTCTTATGCTAACATACTTACAGTCCATAACGATATGTGCATTTCGCATTTTTAAAATGTCTGTTTATTTTGGTATATCTTTATCTATGCAAGCTTATAGCTAGAGGGTTTTTTATTTTTATTTTTTTAATGTTCACCTTTAGCTGTAGTGTCTTCTCTAAGTTTTCAATCTTCCTTTCAGCTATTTTAAGCTTCCTTAGCTCCTCTGACTCTCTAAAAGAGCTCTTTGGGGACAGAGACCTTGAACGTTTCACAGGTGGTTCCTGGAGAATAAAACAAGGACATGGTTGAACTAGTTGGAACACCAGATTATGAAAGACATGCAGAATTAAAGAAGAAGTAATTTTGAATACTAATAATGAATTATAAAAAAAAAAAAAATCTGCATGGAATACCAGAGAAATAACAAGCAGAATTACCACAGCGCTACCACTAAAGGTTTCTCTGTGACTCGTTAATGAGAATATTCATTTACATTTACATTGTTTCTTTCAGAATAATGATGTCCCATTAGGGAAGACTAAAGGGTTATAGACTCAGAAATGCAAGAAACCTCATTACAAAGGAGGGGATAGAGGCTGGTCTAATTGCTCTATAAGGGTCCAAGGTTACACTTGATAGGACAACCAGAAACAAGAGGGAAAGGATTTTTTTCCCTTTGAAATAGTTTAACACACTGTGAAGTTGAAGGAACAATATGCTTGAGGAATATAAATACAACAGACAGTAGATCTTATACCATAATGACCATATGGTCATTAACTATAATGTGACTAACTAGAGACAAGAATATGTGTTTATATTATGTACAGCTTCATATAGCAATCTGGAGAAAGAATATGAGAAAGTAACACTTAAACTGGGCAGCTTTCTTGTTCATTCTATGTCATATGTCCTTATGGCAAAGAAAGAAAGACCTCATCAAATTAGACTTTCTGATTTTCTGAATAACTTTGGTTAAGGACAGAGAAATACTAACACACACACACAATACCGATAAGGTAAAATGCTATTATGTAAATACATAAAGTCAAACAAAAACTTAAAATGAATTGTGATTATAGTTGTTGCATGATGCCATTTTCACTCTAAAATTACTGATTTACAACAAAAGGAATTCAGGATAAAGTCTTCTTGAATACTATATAATTCAACACTTTTACCATTCCATTAAATTAATTTAATATTAAAGAGAATCTTCATGAGCAACTGGCTTTTTTTTCTTTGACCATTACCTTCCAGTATTACATATTTACAAGACACTGTATACCACACTTTCACTTTAAATCATATGGATTTCCAAAAAGGAGAAAAAACATATCATGAAATATCAGAAAATAAAATATCACATATTTAAGAATTTAAATATTGCCAAGGTGTTTTTGTCATTTGGTTTTGGGTTTCTTCTGCTTCTGAAATGTGCCTGAATGAGATGGGGGGAAAAAAACCAAACCACCCAAACCAAAACTAACATCTGAAAAGAATTTTAGTACATTTAAAATCTGAATGGTAAATGGACATATTTTGTATATGCTGAAGTTGAATCCTGTCAGTTCCTTTATATAAGAGAAGAAACTAGAAGAAAGTTTTAATGAACATTTAAAACACTATTTCCAAATTTATGGTTTTATATTGTCAGTATAGCATTGTACTGACTAAGAGTAGATCTCTTTGAAATAGTAAGATTACTGATTAACTTTTTTTCCCAATAATTCTGGTAGAGATATCCAAAAGTTTACTTCAGTTAGTAGATGCTGATATTAATCAGTAAAGATTTTAACATTGCACAAAACGAAATTGATCCCTTTCAGGTGTCTGAAGCAGAACATCCCAAGACCAACATATCAAAAAAACTACTCATCTTCAAAGTCCCAGATTTCTTGAATAAAACCAAGATCTTAAATAAAACTCCTATCTTCCACATTTCCTAATTATTGCATACCCATACTAATTTTTCCTAAAAATCCAGAATGCATTATTTTTCAAGAAACGTTTCCTAGTTAAACTTTATGTTTCTATACAGAAGATTTGGAAAATATATGATTTCTCTGAAAAGGTCAAAGCGCTCCATTTGTTGCCAAAGAGAACGACAACAAAGGAAAACAAGTGGACCAACCACCACCAGACTGCTAAGAATAACTAGGTAGAAAGACTCTAAGAAGGAATGGAGAAAAGAGAAAAAAATACAGAAAAATGTAAAATTCATAGTCTTGCTCCTTTAATCAAAGGTGATCAGATACAAGCAGACAACAGTTTTTCTTTTTTTATATATATACACACACACACACACACACACACACAAACTTTACATATAGCTACCTGGGATTGCACTGTGAATCTTTTTCACAGGGCCAAGGTATGGAAAAAAATAGAGAAAAATTCTAACTACTCATGGACACAAAAATAATTCCCTGTGAGAACAGGTGGGATTGGTGATGTGCATTAAGAAACAGTATTTTGTTTTAATATGTTTTTACCTGTTTAGTGATCAGACTAGAGGTCTGTGGAGAGGAGCTGGGTCTGGGCTTTACAGCTGCACATAGGTAGTTCGAAGGCAATCTTTGCTAAGAAGGCAAACAGTTTAATTTTCCTACCAAGACAGAAGAGACTGTGTAGTAAAATACACTGTAATTTGATTGCCTGGGGCAGCTGCAAAACTCAATTTGGAAGATGGCATCTGTAATACCCTTCTCATAACTGCAAACTTTGCTGCTGCTGCTGCTTCCAGGTTTAAGCATTTAATTTTTAATTCAGTCCTCAAATTCTACAGTAAATTTAAACATACCTGTATTAAATATATACACAAATTGTAATGTTTTAAACATTTCCTAAATGTTTAGGAGTAAGAAAAAGTCCAGTTTTATAAGCAAAGAATGTTAATCCAAGTCAGTAAAGGGTAACAACAGAAGATTTTTCATCAAATGATCCTAAAGCATGTTTACAAAAGACTAAGCCAAATAGCAGAAAACCAGAAATAAACAGGTTTTGTAATATTAATAGGTATAAAACTTTGTGACAGAAAATTTAATGTAAAGAAAAAGTTGGTAAGTGGATGTGACACCCATTAACTGTTAACGGAGGTACAGGAAGCAGAAAAAGAAAAGATGCCTCTTTCTAAACAACCTTCTGTTACCGGTCTGCACCATGAAAGACACCATGGGATGAAACTGGAAATAGTCACATTCTTGAATTCAACAGGTTTTGTGTTGGATGAAGTCCCAAAACAAGTTCAAAAAAAAAAAAACAAAAACAAAAAAACAACCAAGGGAAGCTGGAACTCTTACTGAAATGTCTTAGAGAACTGTTCTGCACACACAGATCAATGTCTGCCAGCATACAGCACTGCAGACAGTGAGCAGAAATCTTAATGTTTTTTATCAGTTGAAGAAACAGAAACATTGTTGAAGCTGAACCAGAGGCTGACAAGATACAGGTGGGTTTTTTTGGAGAGGAGAAATGGCAAATTCTTGATTCACTATGTTTCAGCGGGAACTTTATCAGTTCTGCAAGTTAACTCATGCCTTTTAATATCTTGACATTATAGACTTAGAAGAATGCTATAGAATGTGTATCAATAAAAGGCAATTATAACTCCCATGCATCATACAATGGGAAAGCTTAGCTATAAGAAAAACAAGGGCAGTGTTACTGAATCGGCCAGCAGACATACAGATGGCAGTTCAATTAGGTAACAGAAATCATACACGGCTCACAAAGTTACACAGTTTAAGCTCCAAAAAGAGCTCTAGGAAGGTCAAGCAACTGACTCTTAAGTCGTCATACAAAACGGCACTCAGCTGTACCACTTTCCACAGAGACAGGACTACAAGGGTTACAGTTGCCTCTAAGTACAGACTTAACAGTATCAAGAAAAATGACACCACACATGCACATTTAACAAAGGTTTTAAGCACTGCATCATCTGTCTCGCAGAGTAAGTTGTCTCTATTACTCTGCATGGCTGTAGGCAAGGGATGTGAATTTCTGCAATTCACAAAACAACACTAGCCTATGGATGTATATATACCATTGCATTCTGCAGAACCAAACACAGGTGCAAGCATACAGTCATGTGGCCACGCACCCCAGTTTATCACACTAGTGGCAAGTTTCTGTTTTGTCCCAGGCCCCTCTTTTTAACACCTTTCCAATTATCTCTTCTTTCAAAAATCTTTGGCTTTTTAGAGCAGAAAGTAATCAAAGCAGTGTCATTCTGATCAGAAGTGATTCCATGCTTATTTGTGCTTTGTATCCTGAGAATGCACATAAGGGGGGATGAAGGGTTAACGCGACAGAGTCTTTGTAAAGCCAAAAGGATCACCATTGTAAAACAAGAACTGTATATCCAACATATTCTTCCTGTCAAATCATGCGCTAATAACTTCTGTCATGAATACTTTTGTCATAGAAGACTGAACAAGGTAATGGGAAGATATTTCACTGCAAGGGAAAATCAGTAAAGACAGCAGTAGTACCTTTTCTACTTTATATGTATATTTTGTGATCCTAGAGCCAGAATGTTTGTACAATTTTCCTTACTGTCTTGCCTAAATACAAAGGATTTGTAGCCTGTCAATTCAGTTCCCAAAAGTTTTAATAGAGACCGCGTGCAGATATGAAAAAGTGCACATATCAAACAACCCTGAGTATTGAAAGAGCATGACTAGGATCTACATTATCAAAACAGGAAAAGATTCTCTACAATAGGATTTAAAAGTTTGTATTTAGTTTTACTTAATGGAGGTAATTGCTTTACTCCTGACACAGCGATCAGTTCATACCAAACACAGTACTCTCATTTACATTATACTGAAGAAACAAGAAATGACATTGTGGTAGGTTAACCTTGGCAAAGGGTCAAACACCCACCCAACTGCTCACTCACTCTCCTTCCTCACCAGGACAGGGGGAGAAAATAGGATGGAAAAGATTGTGGGTTGAGACAAAGAAATGGAGATTGCTTACCATTCACCGTCATGGGCAGACTCGACTTGGGGAAAATTAATTTAAGTTTTTGCCACTTAAAATAGATTTGGGTAGTGAGAAATGAAGAAAATATCAAAACAACACCTTCTCCCCCACCCTGCTTCCCAGGCTCAACTTCAGTCCTTCATTCCTGACTCCTCTACCTCCTGCTGAGCAGTGTGGGGGGGATGGGGAATGAGAGGCGAGTTACAGTCAGTCCATAACAGCTCCTCTTGTCCACTCTTTCCTCCTCACACTGTTCCCCTGCTCCAGCGTGGGGCCTCTCCACAGGCTGGAGTCCTTCAGGGTAAACCGGCTCCAGAGTGGGTCCTCCATGGGCCGCAGTTCCTGCCAGAAGAACCTGTTCCCAGTGTGGACTCCTCTCCACACGCTGTGGTTTCTGTGAGGGAATATCCATCTGCTTTGGTGTGTGCTCCTCCACAAGCTGTAGTGTGGACATTGCTCCATGGTGGCCCTCTCCATGGGCTGCAGGGAAATACCTGCTCCAGCACCTGGAGCACCTTCTCCCTCTCCTCCTTCTCTGACCTTGGTGTTTGCAGGGCTGTTTTGCACCTTCTATTCTTCACTCTATGCTGCCTGTGCAGCATTTTGTCCTTTCTTAAACACATTTTCACAGAGGCGCCACCACATGCCCCTAAACAAATGTTCTAAAATATGTCTTTTCCCAAAAATAGCATACAGTGCAGGATATTGAGAAAGAATAAGTCATACAGTTTTCAAAGGAAATATTATGAGATACCAAATGTGGGAAAACCAGATTTCTAAGAAAGCAGAACATGATGGTCCACCCTTGTAGACTATTTATACCACACAGAAGCATGTTCCTATTTGTTTCCTTGCTACAGAAATCTCTTCCAAGTTTCTCATATTCTAGACAATCACAATAAAAAAAATTTTTTTAGATGAGGAAGAGGCTGAACACACTGAAAAACATTATGACTGGCTAATTTAATAAATCAATTTAAGCTGCAGAATTATTTACATATCTATTTCATTAGCATACTTTATAGCTGTTACTGTTACCTGGTGCCTAATTTAACAGCAAGTCATCATGAAAGAGGCAGTCCAGCATTAAACACAGAAAAAAAAAGTCGTAAGTATAAACTTCAAAAGGACATTGTTGTCATTCTTCGTAGAAAAAATACTACATCATACTTTAAAAATCAAGAATTTGGAAAAAAACAATCTTTTTGATTTATAAAATCATAATAATAACCATTTATTTTTCTCTCATTTTCCTTCCAGGGAAAGATGGTCATTCTGATAAACATCACAAAATACCTGATAAATATTCATTTTAACAAACTTATAAAGAGTTTATCCTTCAAATATTTCATTTAATTAAGAGTCCCTTATTCAGTATTTAATAAGGTAAAACCTTCTATTCCCAACAGCTATTTTAACAAATCTTTGGCATATAACACAATAACATTCAAACAAGCTTCCAGAATTATAAGCAGCATCAACAGATATTAAAATTATTACCTGGACCCTTGAGCAAAAATGTTTGTCTTTACCAGCCTGACTTAGACACAAATACACAAGACAATAAAACTATCCTACCTCATGCTTTCTTCCAGTCCTTATATTGTTGCTTTCCAGAGTATCTGTAGTGTAAAAATTATGCTCTGCTAGGTTAAGACTTGCTTTTTTCAATTTTTTCTGTAAAAGCTCAATTTCAGATTTTTGCATTGTAATAATGCACTCTAGCTCACTTAAAGGCGGCTGTTGAAATACCTAGAAAATTATAGCACAGGTATATTACATTAGTAAAAGTAAATCAGAAGCATAACAAACCATTTAGATAAAACTGCCCAGAGAAACACAACATCACTGATATTACTGGAACATGTGAGTGCTGTAAATAATTCTGCTTTTGTAAATGACTCATGAATCCATAATCAAAACCAGACCCCAAAGTGTTAACTAAACTTTTTCACACCACCACCACATTTTCCAAATCCAAATTTATAGTCTTAACAATGGTTGTTTTATACAGATGTTTCTTGTGCAGCAACTTATTCTACTATGGTATTTTGTATCTCACACACTGTCAAAATTTCTTGACAAAATATTTTACCTCCTAGACTAGTGAAATTTCAAGTTGGTAAGTATCACTGGCCTATCAAACATGGGGAAAAAAAACTTAACTGCATATTCTGTCAATAAAGATATTCTTAGTTAAAAATTGCCTCAGAAAAGTACCTCTTCAATGTAAATCTACAGTATGTATCCACAACGTCCATAAACTCAGACAGCACAAATGTTGTGGTCAAGCTGAAGACTTACAGAAAAAAATATACGGTAATTCTAGGTCACAGTGTTACTCATGGCAGCTATGTCATTTCACGAAGCCATTGAATTCCAGGACCCTTCCCAGCTATCAATCCATTCACAGCAATTCCTTGGCACAATGCAACACTGCTGCGCGCTGCTCACCTTGGCCCTGTTCCAAAACTTGTTCAGACCAAAACACATTTTCAGTGGTACCAGCTCTCTTTAAGTCATATCCCCAATGTCCAATAGTGAACTCTTGTGTACACATGACCAAGAGCAGTTAAGTTACCATGGCTTGATAAATTACTCCTTGTCAGTTGAGTTTTCATTAACCGCCTGTGATCACACCCCACTGCGCTACAACCACAAGGCAATACATTGTTAGCTTAACATAAGCAACAGCAATACGCCTGTTGTGGCAGTCTATGGCAATCACAAAGTGAAATGCTTTAGCTCAAACCTCCTCCACAGTGCTTTAAGGCTGGGGACAGACATTCACCTTGCAACAGCTGTGCCAGACAAAGATAATATAATTCCCAGATGGTCAACGCATCCAGGCAGCTGCAGGTTAGCACCCCAACACTATTGCTGAAAGAAGGGATGGTGCAAACCCCCTCCCTAATTGATTGCATAAATAAAGGGCAGGTTAATTTAAAAAGTCAATGCAAGTGGCTTGGGCTGACCCGGCTGACCTTGTATTGCACTGATTAGAGCAAACTCATGAAACCCCTATTGCCAGCGGTGTGCTCTGACAGCAATGACAAGCAGCTAGGAAACAGTAAAGTCTTCAATCAGCAAAGCTTGATCCAGAAGACAACTTTCTCAAGACTGACTAAAAGTTTTATTTTACACATACTTTCCCTATTTAGCAAATTTCTGACAGCCTGACTTGCTCGCAACTGTTTGAGCATATTCTTAAGACAAACATTCATTTCAACAGAGAAGAAAGAATTTGGTACAATTATCACTTGTTCCTACTATCTCAATTAGTGGTATGCCCCAAGTAAAACAGATCAGGTATACTGACATCAGAAAAGGCAGTGTAAAAAAGGTTAAGCAAACCAAAAAATCTCCAAATTCATGCCAGTCAAGAAATGGGATGGTCCAAAGTTGATTAAAATCAAGCAAGCAAACACCCTAGTAAGCTTAGTATTTGTCAGAAAGAGATTAATGGGCATAGCCATTTTATTTCTTTATTTCTATGCATAATATGAAGCTTTTTATAAAGTGTACTATAAACTCACACTTTCTACAAATAAATCCCAAATTAGAAATACCAAGCATTTATTTCAGAAAAAGCACAACTCGGCATACAGCAAACAAGCACAGGAAAGTTGTCAGAGAGTAAAACTTGCCCATGCTTTTGCTGACTATTTCTTAAACAATTTCTGTTGCTCATTTTGCATAATTTAGGCCATATGTAGTTGCAAACAGATGTCATTTCTACCTATGATGAGCAAAAGGCCAGTTTATAACTAAAAGAAAACTCTAAACTGAGGAAAAAAAAGGAAAATAGAAAAATGAAGAGACAAGCCATGCATTGAAAAGAACATTTAAAAGAAAACTGGGCTTTTTGTTCATTTGACCAAAACCTTAGCACTATATAAAAAGGAAAAAAAAACCAAACAAAACCTAGAAGTCAGAAACAGTGCCAGTACATAAGGGAAATGTAGTTATATTTAAGTTATATAATTTTTTTTTTACTTGAACTTTATACTTTATTATTAAGAAAGATAAATACATCTACCAACTTGTCCCATTTTACTGATTTCTCAGCTGCATGTAAAAGACTTCTACATGTAACATAAGTTGTACAATTACATTAATAACTAAAAGAAGAATCAACAGCTTCAATCTGTTAAAATCACTTTAATTCATATTACCGTTACTTTAAAAAGTCTACAATTGTTAAATGTTCATGACTTTTAAACCATGAGAATTACACAAATATAGCTAACAATTAACTTCTTACTGTATCTCTACTTTTTAACTTCTTCTTTCAAAAGTGAAATGCAGAGTGTTTTGAAATGTAAATCCATTTAAGAGTCACAGAATATATCAAATCCTTGCTCCTCTATGTCAATGAAGTTCTGCTACTGACTTTAATAGGACCAATATATGAACAGTGTTCTTCATTTGTTTTGGGTTTTTTTCCTTACTCTTTTCTTCTCCCAAAATAGATCTCTAGAAATTACCATGCAGTGATACTTATTTCAAATTAAAATACTGTAAAGGCACAGTTTCTAATAAAACTCTTACAACAGTCTCTGTGCACATGCATACACACACATTTTTCTTGGAAAACTAAACCAAACAAAACCAGTCTTTGATCTTAACTTATACCTGCAAAATGCCTATGTTTTTACCCTTAAAATATTCAGCAGATCACTGTTACCAATACAGAACTTGTCATATAATTTGGGTCTACGATATCCTCAAAACCTGCTCAATTTTTTAAGTATGCATGTGAAGTTTCTTCAGTTTCAGGAATTCTAAGAACCCAGATGTAACCTAAAGAGATCCATTTCAAAATTGAGGTTTTGCTTATCAATCGGCTCCAGTTTAAGAAGAGCTGGGTATCATTTTCTCTTAAATTTAACATATCCTTCACTATTTGATAAATATTCTTCTACATTTCCTAGCCTAGAAGACTTTGTTTACTCAAATATCAAGAGAATTTTTAAACCTGAATTTTTCAGGCATGAAAAGAGATCTTCCAAAGACAGAAAGCTGGATGAAATTTCTCTCTCTGGTCTTTTGTTTCACATTCATGTCTATTTAGCTTCATATTACTACACTTTTATGTTCCAGGTATCCTTGGTTAAGAGCAAAAAAATCACCAAAACCAAATTATTTAGTGAAAAGATTTGTCTATTATGAGAACCTCAATTCATTCTGTATAAAACATGACTCTACGAACAACCCAGAGTTCCAAGATTTATGCATGAAGAAAGAACTGCAATTTCATCAGATCCTTGGAAAGAAATGTGATCTTTTATTGGCTTTTCACTTTCTAGCTTTTTATCTGAACTCTTATTTGTAACCTAAGAACTAAGGGAACTATTACAATTAGTAAGACCAAAATGGCAAATAATTTGGACTATAACGGAGCTCTGATTTAAAAATCCTAACATTATTGGAAAAAAAGCACAATATTGTGTTTCAAGACTGCAAAAAACATTCAACATCCAAGCTCTGTATGAAGATTGTAGTCCAGTTTCACAGTAAAGATCAGAAATCTGCAATCCAGGAAAATAAAAACAAGTTACATGCTAAGAGGCAGCACCAGGTTCTTCCACAGCTTCTGTCTCAGAATTCTCATTGTAGATCTTTGATCTTACAAACTGAAATAGTAACTCACCTGAACAAAGAGTTCCATGAAGGTTTACTTCCTAAAGTCTACTCTGAATCCTATATCTAAAACAAAAATTCCCATGAGACGATCATTTCAGTGTACACATAATGTTGACCGTCTTCACAGTCTATCCATCTACATGTTGAGTGCAGCAAATGAAGGCTTTCTCTCAGGTTTAAGCATCTTAGATTAGATTCTACTTGCATTACAAAGTCTAGCTTAACAGAATCATGGTTTCTTCCTTCACTTAGCAAAATCAGTTTATAGCATATGCTATTTTATCACAACAGATACATATTTTTGTCATACTGAAACTCAATTTAACATGCAAAACATATATTCCAAATAAATGTCACAGGCTTATTAATGTTTTAAACAACAAACACAATCAAGAAAGTGTTTATTTCTACCAAGCAGATCTCTCACTCCTCTTACGCTTACATGTCTTTTCAAAGAAAGACACAGCTGATGTTTTCTGGACGCATTAATCAATATGAAGCATAAGCACCCATCTTTGCCACAAAGCTGTACCACTAGGGGAGCTATCCACACTGTACTTAGGGAAGGGAATCCAATGCCACCTTTTCAGTGCCACTGTTGTCAGAGATCACAAACAGTACCAAACAACATGGAGAAAATACAGCTATGCTCCACCATACTTCTATTCTGCATGACTTTCCTGAACCGGCAAAAGAGAGCAGGTGTCAAGGGAACGGATACCTAAGAGCTTCAGAACTAATAACACAGCCTTATGTGTACTCCTGCTCCCCCTCAACTTCCTCAGCACAAAGCTGTGCTACCACGAACTGCACAGGACCAAAACCACCAGCTAGGTGGAGACAGAAAAAGCCTGCAGAGTCTTTCTGTAAGCAGATGAAAGCTTACTCTGCTTCAACCACAAACTGGCCAATAGGCACACAGTGCCTCAGTAAAAGCTAAAATATCTTTTCTCTCAGCCACACAACAGAATTTACACACATAGCTCAGACTAGAGGAAGCGTGCACACCTTTACCAGAATATCTGAGCTAGGAAACAGCATTTTTGACCTACGGCAACCAACTGGCCCATGACCCATACCCCGAAGTTTTCTTTCAGTCAAACTCC